AAAAATCCTCACCACTGGACCAATAACAACATTCTTATCAATGGAGAAAAGATTGAAATTGTCAAGGACTTCATTCTTCTTGGATCTACTATCAACACTCATGGAAGCATCAGTCAAGAAATCAAACAACGTATTGCATTAGGCAAATCTGCTGCACAAGACCTTTTTCAAGTGTTGAAGAGCAAAGATAATCAGCTTGAAGACTAAGGTGTGTCTGACCCAAGCCATGGTATTTTCAATAACCTCATATGCATGCGAAAGCTGGACAGTGAATAAGGAAGACCATAGGTGAATTGATGCTTTTGAGTTATATTGAAAGTGCCATGGGCTGCCAAAAGAACCAATAAATCCGTTCTGGAAGAAGTGCAGCCAGAGTGCTCTTTGAATGCCGAGATGGCCAATCTTCATCTCTCATACTTTGGACTTATTGTCAGGAGGAGCCAATCACTGGAGAAGAGTATCGTGTTTGGTAAGGTGGAGGGTCAGAGAAAAAGAGGAAGACCTCCAACAAGATGGATTGGCCAAGTATTAGCATCGATGGACTCAAGCGTGGCAACAGTAGTGAGGTTGGACCAGGATCGAGCAGTGTTTTGTTCTGTTGTGCATAAGCTCGCTATGGGTTAGTATCCACTCAGTGGCACCTAACCACAGCAACAACAAACTGTCTAGTTCTGAGACATGGCTAATGTAATCTTATTTGGGTGATTAAAAATAGCATAAATCATTTTATAACAGCAATCAAAAATATTCCTAGAAGTGGCCAAATACTAAGTCACCAGCACCTCTCTCTTAGTTCTTTTATCAAGCACTAAGAATGAGTGAGGTGAAGGGGAATAGGGAAGCCGGGGAAACTAGGAAAGGAGCTGAAAACCAGCTTTGCCCATATTGCCCAGAGTATGATTTTAGAGTCACACAGTCCTTAACAATAGCAGCTTAATTGAGGTGCAAACTTGGACAAGATTTAAATTTCCTGAACCTCAGCTTCTTCGTCATTTTTTAAATGAAAATAGACACAACAAAACCTGCACCTCTTCAACCATTTTTACAGGTACTTTTTGTTGACAATGATTACATTAACCCCACATTGGGCCATACCTTCTCCCCACCTCTGCCTCATGTAATTTCACTATCACTGAGACTCTGCCCCAAAAGTTTTCTTCTGTTCTGAGTTATTTTTCACATTTAACCATGAGATTATCATATGAATATAGAATTATCATATTAATAGATAATTCTTTAAAAGAATACAATGC